TCTCTCTCTCTCTCTCTCTCTCTCTCTGTCTCTGTCTTTCTTTTTCTCTCTCTCTCGCTCTCTATCTCGCTCTCTCTCCACACACACACACACACACACACTCCTCTCAGTTAGTATTGGGCAGTGTGTGTAAGTGTGTAAGAAAGATATAAAATTTAAAATAAATGATAATTTTATGCATTACAAAGGAAGTTAAATCTACCAAAGTGGTCATCCGTACTAATGGCCACCGTTCCGTGACGCTCTTGCATTTTTCCTATATTTTAAAACTGTATTTACCGGTCATTGTCCAACAAGCCATTTTCGTAACACGACGAGTTGGCCTCGAAACCTGCTTAAAGCACTCACTTGCTTCAAAAGTGTTTGACCAACCATCTTAAGAATAAGTGTGTACGTTCAGTCAATGCTAAGTAGCTTCTATGCAATATAACAAGTTGGATAGAAATGAATTGGAAAGATAGAATAAAGATTTCAGATTTTTAATTATCTGTTGGGTTTGTCAAGTCTAGTTAGTGACCATTACTCAGACCCTGTCCATCGTGGCCACCTATCGATAATGGTCAATTTTATGTGTGATCTTGAGTGACAGTAATAGACAAGTTTGACTGAATACTATTTGAATTTTACTGCGGTCTTACTTCAGCACAGATACCTCGTCTTGCCACAAAAGTTTGTCTCATTCTTCAACTTCAACCTGTACACATACCCTCCCCCCTCTTCACCCATGGTTCTTGCCTTTTCTGTATAGTTTTAATTTGTAGCATGCTTCTTTTATTGTATAACTTTAAAAAACCCACACACATCCATTCATTTTCAAGCCCAAATTTACTCTCTCTCTCTCTCTCTCTCTCTCTCTCTCTCTCTCTCTCTCTCTCTCTCTCTCTCTCCCCGTCTCCATCTCTCTGGTCTGTAACATAGCACGACGCTACCGAAAGAGAAAAAGTGACATTGTAGTGTGTCAAGGAAACACAGTTTTGTATTCGTTTATAATAACGATATGCAGGGGAAGACACTCTGATTACCTCATTGTTCTGTGCAGATTTGAGGGCGACAAGTGCACATCAGACAATGAAACTTGTGAGTGAGGTTGTGGGGGAGGTTGTGAGGGAGGTTGCGAGGGGGGTTGTGAGGGAGAGGTGGACATCTTGAACAATATCATTATAGTAAGGGA